CCAAGGTGGGGGAGGCTAAAACGTCCAGGTATAAGAATCGATGCAATGCCACCTCAGGAGCAGTAACTCGAGACCAACTCGTGAAGAAAAGATGACTCTGAGGCCACCGGGAGAAGAAGACCAGGCAATCATCGCCTTGTGGATCAAGGCCAAGATCTAGTGTGGTGGTATTTGATCATTCACAGTTAAGTATAAGGTAGTTAATTAGATTTATTGTGTTAATTGTTAGTTTGTAGTGTATTTTGTTGTTATAGCATTAATTGTGTTGAAGTAGATAAAGATCACTTCTCATTACCATTAACAGTTGACTCACCGTTTCTTTGCTGGAAGAAAGGTTAAAACACACAGTGTGGTAGGTGCAACAACATCCTTTATACATTATCTCCCTCCAACTTTATTACCTCTTGCCACCATTTTACATCTATGCACATAATTTTTTTTACCCTATCCTCCCACGTCCCCCATCCCAGCCCTTGACAGCTCCTTTTCTCCCCCACCCAAGAATCCGACTTTATAAATTCAGGCAATCTGTTGATATTCTTTCAAAATGTCTTCACTTCAGGCTTGGGGACTGGTAGTTTTCTGGGTAGAAGACTTTACATTTTGATTCTCCTCCTGACAGTCAAACTTTGAGATTTACGTCACACATAGACACGGTGGTCAAAAAGGCGTTTGGCACACTTGCCTTCATTGCTCAGACCTTTGAGCATAGGAGTTGGCAGGCCGTGCTGAGGTTGTATAGGACATTGGTGAGGCCTCCTCTGGAATACTGTGTCTAGTTCTGGTCATCCAGTTATAGGAAGGATATTATCAAGCTGAAGAGGGTTCAGAAGAGAGTTATCACGATGTTGCTGAGTATGGAAGGTTTCAGTTATGAAGAAAGGGTGGATAGGTTGGGACTTTTTTTTACTGGCGTGCAAGTGGCATGACCTTATAGAGGATTATAAAATCATGAGGGTATAGATAGGGTTAATGGTGGTTGTCTTTTACCTAGGATAGGGGATTTCAAGACTACAGGGCGCATTTCTAAGGTGAGAGGAGAGACCTCTAAAAATGACATGAGGGGCAATTTTCTTACAGAGAAAAAACTGAAAGAACTGCAGATGCTGTAAATCAGGAACATAAACAAATTTGCTGGAAAAGCTCAGCAGGTCTGGCAGCATCTGTTAACGTTTTGGGTCCTGTGACCCTTTCTCAGAGAAAACGTTAACTCTGTTTCTTACAGAGAGGGTGGTTTGGGTGTGGATAGAACTTCTTGAGGTACAGTTACAGCATTTAAAAGACATTTGGATAAGTACATGAATAGGAAAGGTTTGGAGGGATATGGGCCAGGAGCAGACGAGTGGGACTAGTTTAGTTTAGGATTATGTTCAGCATGGACTGGTTGGACCGAAGGGTCTGTTTCCATGCTGTATGGCTGTATGGGTGGATTCTCTCTGTCCGTGCTTGCCCTATGCAGCAACAAAAGAAGAACGAATCATTGTGCCAATAATGTTGTTCTTCCATTCTCTGACATGCTCATCATTTAAAATGGGAGGGGTGTTTGTAGGTGGAAACACATTCTTCATTTAATAACTGCATCCCAGGTGATGAAGGGTGAGGGGCTGAGTTACTTTTACAGGATTCACTCTGGGTGTTTATCATTGAAGCTGGCTACAAGTTTGGCAATACAACTTCCCCGCTTTCCCCAATAAAAGAGAAGTGTTGGAAGCATCTTGTTTAAGGGCTCCCTCGTCATATCATTGCTAAACATCCCACTAACACACTGTGGATCAGAGGATTAATCCAGGAGCAATTAAGGAAAAAACACCAGATGCATCATTTTAGGATGAACGGTCAGGAGGTTTAGAGGGGATTTGAGGAACAATGTTTTCACCCAGAGAATGGTGGGGTTCTGGAATACACTGCTTGGGAAGGTAGATTTTTTTTAATTCACTTATAGGGTGTGGGCGTTGCTGGCTGACCAGCATTTCTTGCCCATCCCTAGTTGCCCCTTGAGAAGGTGGTGGTGATCTGCCTTCTTGAACCGCTGCAGTCCTCCTGCTGTGGGTTCACCCACAATGCTATTAGGGAGGGAATTCCAGGATTTTGACCCAGTGACAGAGAAAGAGCAGCGATATATTTCCAAGTCAGGATGGTGAGTGGCTTGAAAGGGAACTTGCAGGTGATGGTGTTCCCATGTATCTGCTACCCTTGTCCTTCTAGATGGAGGTGGTCATGAGTTTGGAAGGTGATGCCAAAGGATCTTAGAGAAGTGAAATTTTGCAGTGTATGTTGTAGTTAGTACACAGTGCTGCTACTAGCATCGATGGTGGAGGGAGTGGGTGCTTGTAGATGTGGTTCCAATAAGTGGGCTGCTTTGTCCTGGATGTTTGAACTGAACTGAATTGTATTAGCTTTACTGTCACATGTACCAACATGCCGACAGTGAAAAGTTTACAAGTTGCCACTTAGAACACCATCTTAGGTACCAAGGTACCGAGGTGCAGGTTCAGGAATACAAATTCTTGGGGAAAAAAAAATAAAAAAAAAGTCTAGCATTACAGACCTTCAAAGCTACAAAATCATGGTAATAAATTAGAAAACCAAAATAACAGCCCTTCCATGATAATATAATTAAGAAAAAGAAATTAACAAAAAGAGAATTTAAGGCAAAATCCACTTAATCCATTTCACGGCTCTGATCTTGAGGACCCGACCCCAACAAATCCTCCCCGTATTGGAATCCTGGCCCAGAGTCACTGGCACCGAAGGAAAAACTGCCTGGAGTCACAGATCGAGAGAAGCCACCTCATGGAGACCCAGTCCGCTGCCAATGAAGGGAGCCACATGCTGGACCAGACCATCCATGCCACTGCGAAGACACTACAGAAGCCTCAAGGAAGACCTGGGCCATTGGAATGCCAGGCCAGGCTCCCACCTCACCCGAAGCAGTGCCGTTGAAGGACCCACCAGGACACAACCATGAGGAACAGCCGGATCCCCAGCGCACCCTCCACTGCAGCAGCCCCTCGGAACTTCCGTCCTCACCCAAAGCTGCCAAGAAGATAAGAAGAACTTGACGTTGAGCCGGCACTAGGACCACCTCAATGGTGCAGAAGCTGCCGGGAACCTGAACTCGCCTCTGACATCACTGCCATGAGTTCACGCCGCTGGGTCTACACGCCAACGCCGCAACTGAGCTCTTCACCAAGAGAGGTAAGTAAAATAAAATAAAAGAGAAAAGAAAAGACAGAAGAAAAGAGAAAATAGAAAAGAAAAGCGAGCGGACTCAGAAGCCCTACTCTGCCACCATCTGAGTGTTGTTGGGGCTGCACCCATCCAGGCAAGTGGGGAGTATTCCATCACACTCCTGACTTGTGCCTTGTAGATGGTGGACAGGCTTTGGGGAGTCAGGAGGTGAGTTACTCATCTCAGTATTCCTAGCCTCTGACCAGCTCTTGTAGCCATTATATTTATATGATGAGTCCAGTTAAGTTTCTGGTCAATGGTAACCCCCACAATGTGAGTAGTGGAAGATTCAGTGATGGTAACACCGTTGAATGCAAAGTAGAGATGGTCATTACCTAGCACTTGTGTGGTGTGAGTGATAGAGTCATACAGCACAGTCCTAAACTATACTTGCCACTTGTCAGCCCAAGCCTGCATATTGTCCAGATCTTGTGGCATTGGAACACGGACTGCTTCAGTATCTGAGGAGACATGAATGGTGCTGAACATTGTGCAATCATCAGCGAACATCCCCATTTCCGACCTTATGATGGAGCGAAGGTGAGACAGCTGAAGGTGGTTAGGCCTAGGACACTACCCTGAGGAAACCCTGCAGAGATGTCCTGGTACTGAGCTGACTGACCTCCAACAACCACAATCACCTTCCTTTAGGCCCCCTGATACCCATTGATTCCAGTTTTGCTAGGGCTCCTTGATGCCACTCTCGGTCGAATGCAGCCTTGATATCAAGGGCTTTCACTCTCACCTCACCTCTGGAATTCAGCTCTTTTATCCATGTTTAAACAAAGTCTGTGATGAGGTCAGTAGCTGATTGGCCCTGGGTGTCACTGAGCAGATTATTGCTGAGCAGGTGCTGCTTGAAAGCACTGTTGGTGACACCTTCCATCACTTTATTGATGATCGAGAGTAGACTGCTGGGGCTGGAATTGGCCA